ATTAAAAAATCTACATGCTTTAAAGAAGGCATCCCTTATTTCTTAAAACATGTTCTTTTCCGGGTTTGATGTTATATTAGTCCTTTCTTCCTCTGACTCCATTGCAGCTACAATCACTGTGTGTAGCTTGCCTTATTGGGTATCTTTTTCTTAAGTATTGAAGTTATATTTCCGTTCAAACAAGCAAATTTAAGTTACAAATAACTAAAGTTTTTTTAAGTAACAATCATCTGAAGAGGAAAGAGTAATGGAAATTAAAAAAAGAACAAAGGCTTTAACTTTAAGTTTTCCAGGTTCTTCAACACGTTAATGTTTGAAATCTTTAGAAGACAATCAGAGTTTCAAACTGTGTAGGTATAGTAGATTTTATTTTGATTGGGTTCCTCGAACTTCATACTCAAATCGCCACTTTAATTTCCAGACTGGCCGTTACTTGTGTAGAACCCTCGTGTGCATTTTCCTTCTATTGTTTAATTCCCTTCCCCATATAACTATTCAGAAGACAAAACAGGTACAAATTAGCTCTTGTTCTTACTTACTATTGTTTAATTTATTCTTGTGGTAGTGGGTGTTGGACCTTCGGCCTCTGCACCAATTTGCACTCCCAAACTTCTTTCATTTCAAATTTTTATTTTGAAACAAGGCCTCATTAAGTCACAAATATCCCAGACTGGGCTCAAATTGTTACCCTCTTGTCTCAGCCTCCCTCAGTGCTGAGATTGCATACGTGCATTACCATACTCAGCCTTAGTGATTGATCTCTTGTTAACTGATCCTTGTTCCTTTTCTTCCAAAAGCATTGGTAGCTTCACTAAGGAACAACTGGCTGGAAATTGCATGAATGAAAAAGACATCCTTATTACCTCCTTGTGTTCCTGAAGTTTAGCTTTACTTTCTAAAAATTTTGAAAAGTGTTCCTTTTTTTTCAATGTTGGATATGGAAGCCAAGGATTCATGCAAGCCCTGTAAGCCCTTGCCACTGAGCTACATCTTGAGCTGTTTTTATTTTTTATTTTGTGATATAGTTTCACTAAGTTGCCCAGGCTGGGCTTTTTTTTTTTTAATACACTTGTTTTAGTCTCCCAAGTAGTGAGGAGTATAGTCATGTACCACCAGACCTGGTTCCAAATATTTTCTATCAGTTAAGTAGTTTTGTGATGAGCTTATTTCCTAGTCAAAAATTATGACGTGAAAATATTGCATAAGTACAATCAGCCCAGGTACTGACAGACGAAATTCTACAGAACTTCTGAGAACCAGCATATGTCTCTATGTACATTCTGAGCCAGACAACCAAAAGGTTACTTTTCAAATCTCTACTAGGAAAAATACTTACAACTTGCAAAGTTAATTTCCACTTATACAAATTAGCTTCCATGTACTTCAATATCATAAGCAACTCTTCTGAGGTCAGAGGGGATCAGAGCGCATCCAGGGCAGTATGGCTGTAGATATAAGCAATTCTTAAACTTGGTAATGCTGATACCATGAAGACAGAATGATATCACCAAGGGAACTTGGTTGCTTTGGTGTCATTTCACTCCCGGTGTGACACCCAGTTGTTGTTCATGAGAGCTTAGGCTACAGTGCTATCAAGCCTTTTGCATGCATTTTCTTGTTTAAGCCTCACAAGAACTTTATGGATAAGGTACTTTTTACAGATGAGAAGACCAGACTTTAAAAAGATCACCTAGTTTGCACAAGAGCCCACAGCTAACCAAATAGCTAGACAGAACTTGAACCAAAACTATCTGAATCTAGATCCTGAACTCCCAAGTAAAAACAAGAATAGGCTACAGTGTACGCCAAAGGGAAACATACACCACTACTTCTCTCTTCTTTCTTTTCTTCTCACCTTTTACACTCACACATACCTAAAGTGAAAAATGCACACTGTCTCATCAAAAGAAAAGATATCTAATCTAATTCAAACTGGTGGGGGGGGGGAAAAGAAAGTAAACCACAGAAGTGCTCCTAAAAGAATCTAGAAATATGCTCTCTGGGTCCCTGGGATAACCAGTGCTCCATTCCCTCCAGAAGCAAAGCAGGTCCAAGTTTCTCTCCTACACCTACATATTTTTAGTTAATCAACTTTTGATTAAACTCTCAACTACTGATCCCAATTGTATTAGATGAGAGGATTACAGTGTATATTTTTCCATGTCTGTTACATGAATCTGGAAGATTTATTGGACATAATTTTTTAAAAACAAAAGAACTTTAAAACAAAACAACCATAAGAATTAAAAGAACATTTTGCTTCTGAGCCATATACCCAGTAAATCCAGTCAGTTCAAATATATCTCCAATTCAAGGAAATCAGTGAATGACACTGTTGGAAAGAACTGAACTTACTATAAAATAAAAGCTCATTTCCTACGGAAAAATGCAATGATTTATTTCTTAAGTACAAGCTTTCCAGCAAAGAATGTCATTGAATTGAATGCCTTACTCTGACTGGCTGCATATTCTACCATCAGAAGATATACAAGCAGAGAGGAAACACGTTGTCTAGAGAAAATATACAATTTCCTTTTATTTCCTCTTCTAAGTAGAACAACTCTTCTTTGGGGACCAAATCGGGAGCTTGTAACAATTCACAACCCAAAATTTTCCATTCTCCACAGCTAGTAAAACTTACAAAATAAGGGTATCAGTAGTAGGGTAGGCTGTAATTAATTCGCTGGACAGCTGTGGAGGCAGAGAAAGTTTCTGAGAAGAACAGTGACACGACTATGACCTCTAAAAGTTAACTGGAGAACATTGTAAGATAGCTCAAAGGAAGAAGAAATGAAAGTCAGAGTTAAGAAGTTCCACTTGATGGAAGTATTTGGCTCGTTAACTTGCACTGTATTTACTTACACTTTATTTTATTCGATTTTAGCCACATTAATTCTATGGCTTCAGATACCCTATACATTGTCTATTGTCTATTATATTGCCTATTAGATCACACAGGTCCTTTCTTATTGATAAGCTCAATAGGATGGAATGCCTTTTCAGAGTTCTGACATAAAACAGCAGACCTACATGTAATATGTTCCTTATTACTGACTTGGTCAATGGTGTGGTCCTCAGAGTACGATGGAAGCAGCACCACTTGATTTTTGAGAATAAGCCAAAAGAAGGCCTTGTAGTTTTTCTCCTGCGTTACCAGAACACTCTCTAGTAGCTCTGAGTGCAGATTAGATGATTAGACGGCTGACTGCTCCCTGAGGTAGGCAAGGTGGAGATGCCATGTAGGTACAACCAGGGTACACTACCTGATAATGCTCAGACTTCCAGCCAATCAGAGGACCGGACCCATAACTGAGGAGGCCTCTAAATTCTAGACCCCATGTATGAGAGTCTACCCCAGATACCTGAGTCCTACCAGCTGAGGTCACAACCATCCCGCAGCAGACCCAAGTCTTTCTGCTGTGCCTTGTCCATATCCTTGACCCAAAGACTACAAAAGCATAATGAAATAGTTTTTTTTTTTTTTAACATTACTGAATTTTGGGGAAGTTGATTAACAGCAATTGGAACCATATGTATAGCGAAAGAACCCATACCTGGAATATGACACTTAGCTCTTGGTGACATATTTCAAAAGACTGAAAAACAAACGTGCTTACAAAAGGATCACAAGCATATTTCTTCATGATGGGGAAAAAAATAAAAGGATTGGAGGTAATCAAACCAGAAAAAAGGCCAAAAAATTTGTATTAATTGTCCCCAAACCTTTGAAAGGCTTCCATGAGTGAATGTGAAGCATGCTAGGCTATACCTTAAAGACAGGACAGAGACAGTGGGCAGAAGTTCCAGGGACACAGATGGAAGATTTTGTCCTGAGCTTTGCAGGAAGGAGGAGGCAGGCTCAAGGGACGGTGAGTACTCTAACCCTTAAGGTAATTAGGTAAGCTGGATGCTCGCCACGTGGTGGATAGGTACGGAGAGAACTGATTTACTGAGTACAAGGCTGAATGAAATGCCTTTTACTTTAAGATTACCCTCTAACACTGAGATGTTTTTAATCTTAAAGTTATCCCTACCTCCTTGCACTAAGAAATTTAACTCAACACATGTGGAGCAGAGAAAAGAATATAAGACGAATAAATTAAATGAAAATCAATACCGAAGTATAAATAGAACGTGATGCAGGATTTGAGAAGAGAAAGGAATGGCAAACTAACAGGAAAATATAATCTAGGGTAGCAGGAAACAAACAAACAAAAAAAAAGTGGAGCAGGAAGAACAAACCAGGGAGGAAGGAAAAAGGAAAAGTGACGAATTCATCACATACAATACCAGGTACAGAGGATGCCTTTGCCCTTCCTGATACGGTTTTACTTAATTTTAAGACTTTGCTTCTCTGTCAAGGAAAAGACACCAGCAGAACACGTGTACTGTGGTGACAAAGGAGAGGCGTCAAGGGCACGTGGAGCCGTCCCTACCGTCAGTATGCAAGAAACGATGGCCATGCAAGCAGCGAAAACTAGAAATTAAAACCCTGTTTCCTAACAAAGCCAGTGTTACAGAGAAAACACAAACCACCTATAAAATCATGTGTCTAAAACATGGCCTTGGAGGAAGCCAAAGTAAAAGAAAATTTTAAAACAATGGGGAAAAAAAGGAAGAAAAAAATGTTAAAAAGTTATATGATCTGAATTTTATTGTTGTTTGTAACCAATTTCCAAGATTTCATAATACCTTAGCACTAGGTACTCAGCCCATAGAACCAGTCATCCCATTGTCATTCCAGGTGAACGAAGAGTGGAGACTCCTCTGACATCACCTTCAGGAAAGCAAAGCATTCAGGGGAGAGTCCTTGAGCCTAATGGTAAGCAGTAATAACCTTTCACTTACTTGTTAACCTTTTCAAAGGTTGATCAAAGCAAAAGTTAGTAATTTATGTAATCCATGAAATAAGACTTTATTTTTCATAGTTTTATTTTTTTGGAAACAGGATTTTTTTTTTTTTTTTTACTGAAAGAACAAAAATCATGACTTTCACTCACCCATTTTCTAGGTCTGCCTCTTGGCCGTTTTTCTCCAGTGGCTTCTGCTTTCTGCAAAATGAGAAAAGGAAGTTACATAGTTTCTGACCTGACATTACTTATAAATGCTATGACAATGGATATGTTTCAGGTGAGAATGTTCTGGATTGCAGATCCGGTATCTAGATGCCTTTAACAACCTCTTTCTCCTTTAAGGTCTGCCACTTTCTGCAGTTCTTTTAGTAAACTTTATTTTTCATTTCATGAGGTAGAGGCATTTATGCAGCCCCACAGCATAAGACTCCCCTGCTGTGACCTATTGTGAAATACACGAAACTGTTTTTGTCAAATTGATCTTCTTTTATCTCTGTTCATAATAAAAGAAATAGTCCCATAGTCCATAATTATGGAAATCAACATTTTTACAAAATAAATGAATAAAAATTTTAATGTCATAACTAAACTTGTAAAAATTACTGCAGATGTAGTGATTTAAATTTACCGTGCATTTCTACCTATACTGCTGGTAAAAAGTGAGTCTAAATGTGAAAAAGAACGCATAAGCCTTCTAATTCAAAATAATAAATATCTGCCTCCACTGACATGGTTAGTTTCCTGTTCCTTGCCCAAAGCAATCACCTGTTGATCAGTTCACTTAAGCACAGAAAAAAGGCTGACAGACGTCATCAGTGTTTGTTCCTGAGATCAAAACTATGGCTGCCTTAAAAGTGATTAATTAATAATTTATATTAACAATAATTTCACACTCAACAAAACAGGACACAAATGTATTCCCACATACCTAGGGCATTTGTTTAATTGCTTTACCTCACAGATTTTTCTGGCATTAATTACCTTTTTCTTTCTGAATCAAACTTTTAACATTATTTATAAAATAACTACTAGCCTTTTCCCCATTTGTCATCTCCATTCCAAGTACATCAGTATGCCAACTCTCTCTCTCTCTCTCTCTCTCTCTCTCTCTCTCTCTCCCTCTCCCCCCCTCTTCTTCCCTCCCTCCCTCTCTCCCTTTCATAGCTACCTTCTCTAACAACATATGTTTATACTTTTCAGAATAAAGAAAACAGCACATGCCGTTCTGGGTACAAGAATCATCATCCCAAGGCTCTTTTAACTCAAAAATATAGGTAACCTAAGCCAGGATAACTTGTTCTGAATTTTACTTTTGTTAGCTAGATTAACAGCCAGAGTATAACTATTTAGTTATGCTAAAATGAGACGTAAATGATGAATCTACACTGCAAAATGAAGCTTCCCTCTTTCTGTTAAATCTAACACAAATACATGTACATAAGTGACAGACAGACACGTAGATAGATGGATCTCTAGCAATACTATCTAGCAGACCCATGAATTAACCCAAACTCTCAATTGTAATGTTAGCTTACATTTGAGCATTTAAAATAGCCCAGGCACTGGGTTAAATCAGTCGCGTGAATCTTTACAGCAGCTCTATAAAGTTGGTATTATTTCTCTTATTTTATAGAATAAGCAATTGATAGGTTATGCAAATGACTTGTCCGAGGCTAAGCCAGCAAGTGGCAGACCTGAAGCCTGATCCCAACTTGAGCCGAGCTCACAGACTGTGCTCCTAAATGTTCAACAGTGCCATCGCCCCTTAGCACAGAAGCATGCAATACAGAGAAAATATTTTGAAACAAACTGTCATTTTATCGGTTAATGTTCCAGAACTGAAGGAAATCTGGGAACCTTAAGGAGCTCTCTTAAGTCTGGGGTCTCTGAATTGTTGTTCATTACTTTTGAATGGATCCACGAAGGGATCATTTATTATCAGGGTAGCATCACATAACCTTCAGTCAGAAGGAGCATGAATTAAATTAAGCGAAAGCCAGGAGTGCCTAGTAAGCCACAATTCCTTCTAACGGTATTTTCTCATGACAGCGAGGTCTCCTGAGAGGAACAGATTCTACTTTAGAAAGTTTACTTCAAGTTCCTTCTCTGCCATTTTAGCTTTATGACTTTGGGCAAGTCCCTGAAAGCCTAATTTGATTTTATCTCTAAAATGGAGATATCACATAGATATCCTTCTATGAGGAGACATCAAGGTACTGGGACGTGCCTGCCATCAATGAGGAGTTCATAAACATTCTCTCATTCCTCACATGATGCAATCCTCAGGGCTAGAGAGATAGCTCAGAGGCATAACTGCCTACCTGGCAAGCGAAAAGACCCAAGTTCGATTCCAGGCCCCTTATGCCAGGCAGTCTTGGCCTCAGATGTGGGTACCCACTGTGCGGCCCAGGAACCAGGTGTGGTTGTGCATGCCTGTAATTCCAGCACTTGAGAGGCTGAGCCAGGAGGATCTCTGTGAGTTAGAGACTAGCCCAGGGGCTACAAAAGTGAGCACAAGGCCAGCCCAAACTGCATAGTGAGTCCCTGTCTCAAAAAAAAGAACCCTTGGGGCCAGGGAGATGGCTCAGTGGAATAAGCGCTTCCCTGGCAAGCTCAAGGGCCTGAGTTCAATCCCCGGTTCAACAAAAAAAAAAAAAAAAAAAAAAAAGAACCCTTAAGAGGAACGTTTTCCCTTAGGTTAGTCCAACCTCACAGACAACTCAGGCAAAAGCAAATATTCCATTATGTCTGTCACCTATAGAGAAAAGTCTTTCACGAACTCTCTGGCTTCTGCATGGTGAGCTATGAGAGTACAAAATTCTCTACCAGAGACACAACCTCTGATTTAATCTTTGGGAGTTACTGGAAGATTGCACGGCTTACCCAAGAGTAAGGTACACAAACATGGAAGGTAGAAATCCTTTTTAGTGAATGGAAATGGGAATAGGAAGTGGGGTTGGGGGAGGTGGCAGTTGGTCGTAAAGCTGACACTGTCCCATCAGGCTTTTCTGCCCGGTTGCTATGTTTCCGAACCATGATGTGATCTGGGTGTATCTGAAATCTATCGAGAGTTTTTTTTTTTTTTTTTTTAAAGGCTTCTCTGTATTTCAAAGTCAGAGAAAACAGATCCCTCAAAGAGAAAGAAAGACCTGCAAGTACGATGACTTTTAAATGAGCATCTCATTTACAAAAAGTCTATTGAGAAATAAAATTCGTACCATTAACTAAGGGGCAAAATATCATGATTATCACTCAGACTTGTCAAAAGTGAACCTGCTCCTGGGTTGTGCGGGCCAGAGTTACATGTAAACCGAAACCCTCTTCTGAGACTACATCTAGGAGAAACACATTAGCTGTGCTGGGTGGCGTCGATCTGGGAGGTTTGCAATTGTTCTTTAAAACCCACATCATTTAACCACTCTAATCAAACTCCACAAAGGCTGCTAAACAAGTTAGGATCTTGGTTTGCAAACCAGCAGAGGTTTGGTATTTTTGTCTATTGGGAAACACTGGCTTTAATGTTTTTCCTGTGTTTAGTGTCTTTCAGGTATTATTTTTCAAAGATAAAGCATTCAGGAGGCTTGTTTTGTCTTAATGTCAAATATGCAATATTGTAGGAATGTATATTTAGGATTTTTTTTTTTCCTGAATAGAGTTTGGATCTGTACTAAAAAAAAAACTCATGTAAAAGTGACACACATCTGCTTATACAGAGGGGAAAGGAGAGACATAGGAAATAAAATTTCAGAGTTACCACTACTATTCATAACTATCTTTCCAAAAATGTTATTTCTCCCTTATATTATGCATTCTTTTTTAAAATTTAAATTTAAACTATATACTTAATTTTAAATATATTTACAAGCAAGCTCCTGAGAACAAGGAGGAATGTTAAACTGGAAATGTATTTATTCCATTCAGAAGTTGTAGTACACTAGGTTCTTAAATATACTCCACAATTTTTGAAAAATTAAGAAAACAATTCATCTAGGAAATATCTCTTTTGAAATTGAAAACAGTGCTTAGTTACATATCTATAGAGGGTAGGAAAGGCAAGAGAGAAGCCCTAGTGTTCATATTATTTGTGTTGTATTTTTCTCTGATCAAAATTTCAGAACTTAGGGCCGGCCAAATAGCTCAGAGGATTAAATAAAGCGCCTGCAAGCAGGCGCAGGGACCAGAGGTTCAATCCCCAGACCTGCCAATTGAGACTGGATGTGGTGGGGCCTGCCTGTAATCCCAGCTCTTGGGAGGCTGTAAACAGGCAGATTACTATGAGTCCGATCTAGTAGTGAGACCCTGAACACCCTGTAGACCCTTCCCTAAAAAAAAAATCTTAAAAAAATTTCAGAACTTGGTAAAATTTTATAAATCATTTCTTATAGCTTTCTCATTTGGAATACAAGGAAACTTCTATGGACTGCTATAATCCAAAAACTCAAATAACTATGGTTTAAGAGGTGCTCTAAAAGTTTCTCAAGCTCAACTTGCAATCTGTACCCACATCACACATTATAGAAATCAGGTAACAAATATTTTATGAAATATTTGACAGTACATAATAGCAGAAATGGGATAAGCTTTAGAATAAGAGTTAAAGCCAAACACACATGTCACCATTTAATTGAGTTGAACACTAGACATCTCAGTTTATAACACTGAAACCCACTTTACTCATTTCTGTAATAAGGATCACAATAACTAACACACGGATTAATATACGTGTATATTTATATGGACTGCCTGACAGCTATGGCATTTGTTAGGTACTCAAATGTAATCTCTTGTATCCTACTTTAAAATGCTACCATTAAAAAAATGCCTACCAATTCTGGAAGTTTCCCCAGTGATTTCCTGAGCATAATTTTACATAAGTAGGGCAGCCATTTGCTTCCCGTTTTCTGTTTCATGGAAAACTAACCAACCTGCCTAAATTCATATATAGTAGAACCAAGATGCAATCTTAGGTCAAGGCAACAAAAGGTTTGTTTTTTAGGGAGATATTCTAATATGAAATACAATTGCTGTGACAAACTTAAAAAGCAATAGAAAGCCTTCTAAGGTAAAAGATTCCTATAAAGCTGGAGACAAATGTAGCACTTGGAAACAAAAAGAACAACTCAAGTCTAACCTTAGGGCCCAGTTCGGATAGCTATTAACCTTTTGCTATTGACATTTTAAAAAGCTTTTTTGCTATT